GGAAAGAGAGAGTGAGAGAGAGTGAGCGTGAAAAGGGAGAGGGAGAAAATAAAGGAAAGATAAGGCTTTTATTTTCTTTTTCTTAAATATTAAGAATTAAAATTTGAATAGGAGTCGAACCCTTTTTGAAATTAAAATTTGAATCTAAGTTAAATATGTGAAATAGACAATAAGTAAATAAATTTTCCACTAAATAAAACCTTCTTATTTTAAACACAACTATTCATAAACTATTATGACTTACATAAATTATATCACATAAGTTAATTATAATTTATCAATCACATAACATGATTAATGGCATAAACCTTCACATTTTCGCCGAGCCCTTATCACCTGAAACATACTCAGTATACATGTTAATATCATAATTAATATTCATTAATTTAATTTCATGACAGACATCGATAATTAATGTTAGAATGAATTAGGGTATTACGCTCCTTTATCCGATTTCTAATTTTAATTCAAAACTCAAATTCTATTTGAAGTCAAACTTTAATTTAATTTGAATTCTAATTAAATAACTTATCAAATAAGTCAACCGGATAACTAAGGGTGGCAATTCGTGTCACGTGTCGTGTTCATGTCGTGTTTTGATCGTTTCTGTTTAAATTTACAGTCAATCCGAACACGACCCGTGATACGAAATTTTTTAAAAACCGCAATACGAACACGACACGACCACTTTACGAGTTGACACGACATGACCCGAAAATGACCAGTGACACGAAATTGACCCGTGAATCCGAAATTGACACGAAAATTGTATACTTTTATTTAGTTTTTTACATATTAGAAATAACTTAAAATTCATAACACTAAATTACAATAACATCCATTGAAATTAAGCAAATAATAGTATAAGATTTTGAGTATAACTATCATGATATTACAAGTTCATAATAAAATTTAAAATATGAAATGAAAAATATATGTATTTTTTAATTTTTTACGAGTTTCGTGTCGTGTTCGAGTTAGGCGGGTCCAACCCGAAATTGACCTGTGTTTTTCGTGTCAATTTCAGGTCAACCCAATTCTGACCCGAACCTCTTTTTTCTTAACCCTAACCCGTAAAATTCGTGTCGTTTTCGAATCGTGTCGTCGTGTCGTGACCCATATTGTCGGCCCTACGGATAACTTAGAAATCAAGCGATTGAATCTCAAGAGATTCCTCATTGCTTAGGTGTGTAGCACAGTGTGGTCCCACCACATGTGTATTCCAATATTCAAATTAAATAATCACATTATTTAATATATAATTAATTTTCAATTAATTATTTTCGAATGATTTAATTTAAAATTTCTTAATTCTAAATTCTTGTTTTACCCTTAGTGTCTCATATAATTACAAGGACGACGCGGGGACTCGTGGACTTACAATATCAAGCTCCAATAAAATTAATAACTAATCAAAGTCTTCAATTAATTAATTAATTCTAAAGTTATTCTACTATAAACTTAGAATTGCGCTCTTGATATTATAGACATTTATTTACATCGGTGAAACGTCCATTTGTATAGCTACTCCATATAGATCGATCCTCTATAAACAATTCATAATTAAAGTTAGGTGAAATCCGTTAACTTCTCTAATTACATTTTTCTCCTTAAATTCCATCGATTCTCTAATGAATAATATATTCATAAAACAAATTCATGAATACGAGCTCGTTATAAATTTAAGTACCGAATCGATCCTCAAGGGAATTATTTATCTACTTCTTTCTCATGAAAGAATAGATTCCATCTCGTAATATTAACATTATCAGCTACTTATTTCATGTCTCCAAGATATAAAGAATATGATTTTGAGAAATAGAAATCTACTAATACTATAGATTAGATTATTCTATATATGATCGTCGGTAGACTCACTTAGAATTTTTATACTTAACAAAAATTATCAAGAATTCATATTATGTCTTGTCTCAGTCCTACATAATCTCATGTAAAATACACTCACTCGATATCCTTCCGTATTAACGATGCGGATGAGCTCATTCCATTCTTAATGAAAATGACATGTATTCATAATGTTTTACTTAAAGATTATGAAGTTTAATTAAATTCATTATGAACTTATTTCGATTATTATATTTAAATATTATCTTCTAGTATATAACATTTATATACAATATTTAAAGTCACATAAATAATTATATAATTTTTAATAATATTCATAAAGTATATAATAATACATACATATAAATAATAAAATTTTTATATTATTAAATAAATAACAAAATCCAACATTACATTTCATATTTTAAGAACACCATTCCCAACACTGTTTTCTTCCATTTATGAAACTGATGGAATGTCCTATGTGGCAAGAAATTATGAATTAAGTGCAAAGAAAGACAAGAAACCCAAGAAAAAGGATTTAATTCAAGGAGATGTTTGGTTCATAGATTAGAATCATGAGATTAGAATCATTTTCAATTTATGTATATTTTTTATGAGAAAAAATACTGTAACGAACTATGAACTATGATTCAAATCGGGATACGAATCCTCCAACTAAATAACTCATTTTCAAAGTTTAGAAAAAGAAAAAAAAAATCCTAACCCCAACATTTAACCTTTCTGTACCGTTTCCACTGTTCGAGGAAAATTCATCCCCTATTCCAATCAGATTATTGTCCTTTTTTTCTTTAACTCTTACCAAAGCATGATATTAAGCACTTACATCACAGCTTATATAGCCAATTGCATCAGGTAATGGCCTTAACAGATGCCAATTAAGAGAATCGGGAAAAAAAAAGCGTTTAATTAACAAGTAAAATGGAGAAAGAATTCAAAGAAAAAAAAAGTATTGATTTTGGAAGGAAATAGGAGAAGAAAGAATATCTAAGAATTTTTCGGTTCTCAAAAACTTTACACTAATTTTCCAGTCAATATCGAAGCTTTTCAATGTAAGATCGCAGTTGAGTGCTAGAAGCGGTTCATACCGGTATAAAAGGACTGGATCTGCATTTGGTGAATCGATGGAAGGTAAAGGCTGTTGAGGTGATAGACAACGGCCCTGCTCTGTTACCCATTCACTGCCATTTTTCCTTCTTCGTGGTCGTCATCGTCTTCTTTTTGCAAGAGAGATATGAGTTAGCTTATTTCATGATGAAGCTTTTTGTTTTTGCTATTGATCAACCTTTGAAATCTTGGACCAAAAACCCAAAGTCCTTGGCTGCATATTCAAGATTGGAGTCTGAAGGAAGCCATTTTTCGACTGTAAGTCCAAACGCCCAAATAGCCACCGACTAATTTTACTATAATGCCTCTTATTAACCGATTTTAAAAGTGGCACTAAGCACATTTTAATGCAATAATATAATTAACGTGTTAATTATAAATTTAGTATTTAAATATAAAAAATATATTTTATTGTAATATTATTTATTGTGTTAAATTTTTTACATATTATATTTTGTGATAAATTTTTTATTAAATATAAAATATAAGAAATTTAACATTTAATTATTATTAGTTGAAATATTTAATTTTTTATGTAATCATTACAAGTTTTTCGTTTTCTAATTATTTTAAACATAACAGTTTACTTTTATAATTTTTAAAGATTTAACATTTTAAATAGCATTATGCATTAGAGTAAAAATGAAAATAACATACAATATTACACTTTTTAATGATAAATATAAATTAGTATTAATATTTGCATTGGAGATGGTCCAAGACATTCCGATTGTTTTATAAACGGAAGTTGACAGGATATTTTTATCAGTTTTTTATAGATCAAGTGGTGAGAATGTTATTTTTTAAAGATTAGGGGGTAACTTGACATAAGGTGAATACTTCAGGGGATATCTTTAAAATTAATTCTTATTTCATTGATATATTGTACATATCAGGGGGTGAGAATGTTATATTTAAAAGATTATGGGGCAACTTGATATAAGGTGTATAGTTTAGGGGGTGTTGTTAAAATTGATCCTTATTTTATTGATATATAAGTGTTCAAGTGGTAGAAGATCTAAGGCCTCGTTCACTTCGCGGATTCGAGTTTTCAATTCGAGTTGAGATGTGACATTTTTTGAGAATTTTTTACTGTAGAAACCTAAAACTGAAAACTCGAATCGGTAAAATGAACGAGGCCTAATAGAAGCGTGTCTACACTTAAAAAAATGGAAGCCAGACAGGTAAATTGACACATGATTTTATATTTATATTAATTGAGACACGTGTTATACACATAAAAAATAATTTTGTAAGTCTAATTCTACGTTAATTAATAAAAAAATTTAATTCCGCAGTAAAGCACGTGGCCTACACAAAAGTCAAGTTCATTAAGTGGAGTAGGAGGATAAAAAGTTTTGTAACAAAATCCCATTGAAAGAAACTAATATGAGTTTATTTATTTAAAAAAAAAAACTTAAGTCGAAGGTATTTGAAAATATTTATTTTAACTAAAAGAGCGTGAGAAAAAGAAAATAATTTAAAAGAAGGATATTGTAAAAAAAAAAATTTGCCAAAGAATATTACAAAAAAAAAAGACAATATGCAAAATAAAAAAAAAAGAAAATGAGGAAATGATGAAAAGTTAAAAAATGAAACAAAAAGAATTAAAGTTAAGGAGTATTTTGCAAAATAAATAAATAAAGTTACATATGAGTTTTTTTTTTAAAGAAAAGAAAAAAACGTAAATCAAAACATATTTGAAAGAAATTGTTTTAATAAAAAGAAAGTATTTCAAAGATTTATATTGTAAAAAAATGAACTACCAAATAATATTAGCGGAAAAAACAAAAAAGACAATAGGCAAAACAAAAAAAAGAAAAAATTAAAAAAGGTTAAAAAAAGAAAAAGAGGAAAAGAGAAAGATAAAGAAAAGAATAATGATGCGATCATGTGTCATTTTTATGA